TTCATGTAGGCTAGGAACATTCCACCTGCCGTGGCCCGACCGCTTCTGCTCCACATAAACTTTGTGCGTAATCAAATGTCTACAGGTGCTTTCTGCGCTGCTATTCTGCCTCAGACTGGATGCGTCATGCGTCTCCATATTAGAGACGGGAAAAAGCGCTGTTCAGCCAAAGTTTCATAATTTCATAAAAAGAACATTTTTCCAAGCTCATCCATGCGCATCAGTGTGCGTCGGGGTAATTCTTTCAAAACAGCCAACATCCTTGAGTTTATCCATCAAAATACAGTCAAATGGAAATATCTGTAACCTGCCATTTAACTGTTTTGCCTTCTTGTGAAGATTGTTGCAAAGAGAAACAACTAAACTTGATTAACCCCGGAGCCATGCGCACTGCGCTGTACGTCGTGACTGTAAATGAGGGGAAATGATTTAATCGGATCCTTTTCTTTTCAACATGGTTTAATGTAAAGTTTCATTCAGTACAAACTTTAGTTACACCAATCTAACTAGACAGAGCCTGGATTTGTATTCTGAACAGTTTAAACATGTTTAAAACGGAGACATGCGTGACACGTCTAAAATTCGCACCTGCTCCGCTATTATGGAAATTAAACTAACAAGGTGAATAACATCAAATTATTTTAGGCACAGACAACATCCCCCACACTTTTGAAAATCTTGCAACGCGCCTGGTCGCTCGTGTACGTCAAAGTTATCTTTCATAAGAAGATAATCAATAAAACGATTTATATAAAGATGATCCAGAAGCCCGTCTCTGCCTACAATATTTTGATATTTTTCACCCTGTTGGTGGTTTTACTGAGCAGGTACCACTTTTGTCATACGTTTCTTTTAAAAACATGTTTAGACTGTTCAGAATACAAATCCAGGCTCTCAGAACCAGAGCGCATGTGAGAAGGTTCCTCCCACTCAGGGCCGGAGTGGGACACGTTTTCAGCCCTGGAGTTTCAGACCCCAGACTGGCCTACTTAACGAATTATTATTAAAATCATGTTAGAACTTTATATGTATAGTCTACAAAAGCACACTACTCGGTAAAGCCTTGTAATTCAGTGCGAGAAAGAGTTGCTTTACAATGTAGGTTTATTTGAACATCAGTGCACATCTCCAACATTGTTCTTTACAACACATTCTCTAAAAATATAACAATCTACATTCTGTTCAAACAGCTGTTCTGAGATTTTCAAACCTTTAAAATGAAATGACTCAGCACTCCCTTTCACACTTTTTCCAGTTTCCCTAGACTCACCTGCACACAATTAAAATAATCATCTGTAAAGCTTTAGCACATTTGATATGGAAAACACATTTTTTGTAACCAATTAAAATATTTTCTATGGCAAAATATGCAGGCTTATTTCATTTTACTTTCATTCTAATAGCGATCTGTTGTGGGCTTTGTGCATTTACTAATAAAAATACAACAGGTCCCTACTATTATTTGGACATTAAAATTATCATAATGAAACTGATGTTTGCTTGTTTGCACATGAGTTGGCTCACCTTCTATCCCAACAGGAGCAATACCCTCACTGCTGGCTCTTCTTCTGACACTAAATCACATTGTGTGAAAATGGTCACAATTCAGCATTCATTTTCCTTTTTTACACGCTTTCTGATCAATGCTGAATCATCTAGCATTTTAGAACACTTTCATATAGAGCCAGGATAGTTTTCATCATATAAATTTTAATAATATTCAGTTCACTGACTCAATAAGTAGTACCTGTACATGTCCGCTCTGGAATTGTGGGTTTCTGCCTGGTGCTTATTAGGCCTACTGGATCTTGTGGGCTACAAGACAGTTTGGTGGCATCAGTCACATCATACTGTTGACTATATTACATAACGTTATGTCATGACGCCATATAATTCATTATTGATGCTTAATTAAGTTGAATGGTGATTTGCAGCCGGTAAAGTTTAACATCTTGACTTGCCTTACCCGTTTTATCTTCATTTGAAGTTAAAGACCGCAAGCTTGTTTGAGAAAAAAAGGTGCTCATTTTTGCACATTTAGCTGCATCTGTTTCCAGCGCTTTCCTCTTTTTAATTCTTGCCTTCTCCGCGCCACCCTTGCTCTTTCTACTTTCCATCTTTCCGTCAACTGCGTGGTCACGTGGTGCGCACAGGCGCATACAGGGGAAAAAGAAAAGAAAAAAAAACCGAGCTGCAGCCTGCAGGTAGAGACAGCCGGGAGGAGCATTATGAGATCAGCCCGGCGGCCTCAGTGCCATGACTGAACACCGGCACCAAAAAATAAAAATAAAATGATAAAAAACAAAAACGAGAGCACCGGCCCATGCGGCCCAAACATCGCGCGGCCCACCGGGAATTCTCCATACCCTCCCGATTAGCCACTCCGGGCCTGCTCCCACTGAAGCAAGTGTTTTCCAAACCCTGTCTCTCAGAGACTTGTCACTTAGAAAATGTTCCCTGATTATGAAACTTTGGCTGAATAGTGCTTGTTCCTGTCTCCAATGTGGCGGCGCATCCAGGAGCCGTCTGAGGAGAATCCCAGAATCTGACATCCTCCAGCTCAGGAAGCGCATATGATTACGCACACGCGTGACGCGTCAATGGACCTGTTCAGGTTTACGCAGACAATCTTTACATTTAGAATTAGCATACAGATGTAAAGTTAATGCAGTAAAATATAAAGCTTTTTATTTAAATATCAATTAATTATTTTAAGAGCACAGAGAGCCGCATCAGATGGATGGAAGAGCCGCATGCGGCTACAGAGCCGCCGACCCCTGTGCTAGCCTATATTGTCCCCAGCAATTTTTAAACCCCAATCAAGTGTATGGTTATTGTCCCCAGCAATTCTGAAAACAAACTGACGCCCTTGATGAGCGATAATGAAATATTTCCTGATTTATCGGGCCTACAACTCCCAAGGTCCTCTTACAGGAGACAATACTTTTATCCAACTCACTTTTAATCAAATATAATATTTTGTTTCATAAAGTGATTTCCTAACTTCACAAGTTACTTACAATTGTATTCTGTTTATCTGAAGTGTTTTAATAATGTCCTGACTGTAATGAATCATCACAATTGTTTATTCTGGAAATGATGCTTGATTTCAGATCTTAAATACACCAAATTAGTCTACTTGTTGAATTTAGTATTGACTTGTTATTAGCATGTTCACACATTATTATTATTATTATTGATATATTATTATGGATGTTTAACAGATTTACTTCATATTAAGGGAGGCAACCTCTCTAAGAGGAATGAGGTGGTGTCTGAGGGATTTTGAGAACGCCCACTGTTCCACGTTCGACATTCTCGTTTGTCTAAATTTGTAAACAAACAACTTTATAAAAGAAAATTCACTTCCTGAATTCTTTAGTTTAGCACCTCCATGATGCTTCCACACCCCAAACGGAACTGTGGTATGGTGTTCTTGGGGTGGTGGGCAGCGCCATTTCTTCTCCAAAGACCATACTATAGCCTCCCAGTGACCCTCAGGCTTCTCCAAATGCTGTTCTACAAACTCATCGGGACTGGGACAACACACGGATCATAACCGCTGAACAACAAAAATACAAAAGATGGATCAAGGAAGCAATCGAGATAAGGAGACGTGGATGTGGGACCATGAACAGGGACGACGGAGTTTACACGCTGGACCACGCATGGGACTGCTTCGTGGGAGAGGGGAGAGCGGGCAGTAGAGGGCGACAACGTCCTCTGCTGCCCGCAGATAAACGGAGAAGGAAGTGACGCGCCACCATCAGCGTCAGCCTGAAGAAGCCGGCAGCCGTCGGCGAAACGTAGTGTCAAAAACAGGTAAACAAAACTGTTTCTGTGTTTTAAAAATAGAACGACAACATGGAATTGGACTTAAATCTTCAGATTTCTCTGCAGGAATTAAATGCTTGTGTTAAAATTGACGTGGTGGAAATTTTGTATACATAGCTCACTTAGAAATACCCTTACTGATAAAAAGTGTCAGATATTTATTTACCCACTATAAACTCAAAGCGGTACAATTTATTGGGTTGATAATAAAAGTTTTATTATTAAGATACATTTAAATCAACGTCAACAAGTAGTCAAGCATTGATACAAAAGCAACATCCACGAAAGGACAAAAGTTAAAACAATCTTAAAGAGCAAGTCACCCTCCTACCACAGTCTCACTCAACCCACATTTCCTGCTGTGTCACATTGAGGCAATGGCCTTGCTCGAGTTGAGCAGCGATTTACAGAATACATGTGACCAACTAACATTTCATGTTCTACCACCGGATGTTTGGATCAGAATGTAAACCAATCAGATCTTAGATCAGGTGAGAGCCAGGCGTTTCCCGTCATGCCCTAGGTTTTGCAGCCGGTGGAGAGCAACTGCAGCGCCTTGCTCCAAAATCTGCGGCCGCCTTGATCTCACGAGGTTATCGTTGTCTGCGTATGCATGACGTCAGAGCAAGTCGGCATCAACTCGGACACAAATCTAACCGGCATGCACTGCTCGCCGATCACCGCTGATCTAATCTGCGCGGAACTGGCTCATCTCGAATAAGCCCATTGCCTGAAGGACAGAGAGGGTGACCCTAACTCTAACAGTGCACCCCTGCATGCAGCTCCAATAGGCACTCGTTTATACAGTTTGTCAGGAAAAAAAGTTTATAAGCAGTTGATTTGTAAAACTTTACTATAAAACTTGCTGTAATATAAAACAACTTCCAGTAATAAAGTTCTAAAATATTCTTTTTCTCTGAGCGGCGTGTGAGACGCTGAAACCACCCTGTGAAAAAACAGCTGGTAGGACTTCCTTCAGCAGCAGCAACTCTAGTTTGGGTTTTATCTGACTTTGCCAGTCTGACCGGGTTCTTGTGGAGTTCTGGGTTCTTTACTAAGTTGTTTCAGTTCATTGAGGTTAAAGTAGCTTTCCGGAGTTGTCCCCTTTCAAGAATTATGTATGGCTTTTCAGAAATCCGTAAAAGTGATTATCTCATCATGTACTGTGATATAATGTAAGCAATACGTCTTTTTTTTTTTTTTTTGCTAACCACGGCCCCTGCCCCACAGAGCTCTGTGCAATAGGAAGCTGAGCGCCGACCAGAACTAACCAATAGCGTTAGACTACCGCTTAGACGCTTCACATTTAAGGAATACCTCGGCTGATGCAGAGCTGATGAACTTTTCACCGACAAGTCTCTAAAATATAAATATATGAGAACACAACATGACATGAGAATAATACTCGTAAAACAACGTTTTAGCTGTTTGTCGGCTACAGAAGCACATTTATAAACAGAAACGTGAAGTCGCCGTCTTAAGAAAAACAGAGCGACAGACATTTTGTGTGATATGCTTGTCAGCCACTAGATGGTGCCATCGGATAAAATAAATACTCCAGAAAGAGACTTTAACAATCAGTTTTATCCAGGTTTAAAATGAAACAGACTTGGTGCCTGTCTGGTGCCTATCTCCAGCGGTCAATGGGCAATCAGGCGGGGTACACCATGGACAGAGAGCCAGTCCATCGCAGTAAGACGGTAATATTACACTGATTTGCCGGAATGGTGTGTCTCGTAAAAGGGGCTATTGATAATTATCAGTTAATCAATAAATCTGATCATGCTGAAACAGAATGTCCTAAACCATCTAGAAGCAGCTGGGCTTGATGTGGTTTAAAAAATAATGACATGGTGGAATCTGCTGAGTCTTTTTCTACTTTGTGGTTTGATTTGAATCCTTTTTGGACCTGGTGAAGACCAGATCCTTTTATTTAGTTCCTGATGTAAAACCCTAAAACTGAAAGACGGACCTTTCTTTCATGACTGTGTGTCCATAATCACTGTTCGCTTGCATCGTGACAGCAGAGACATTTCAGGGATCTGGAGCTGTCCAGGTCCAACAGCAGCAACACATCAAAGGTACAAGCAAACAGACTTAAATAACTTGAACAGTATAAAAAGGCACATTTCAAAGAACAAAAGACACATTTTGTTTTCCTTTCATTCTTTTCCTCTTCTGACAGCACCACACAGGCCCATTTAGGAATAGGGTTTGGTTTAGTCTGACTCCCATTAAAGTTTTGTTCTTGTTATTTTGGCAACTTGGCAACAAAACAAGATTAGATTTTACGTTAACAAAGTTTTGTGTTAGGAGAAAACTTAAGAGGGAGATATTTGTGGCAGTTTTCTCTACTTAGATTATTGTGCTCTCTGCAAGTTTTTGAGTAAGTTCGACCCAATCTGCAACAAGATTGTTTCTAAGAAATGGATACGCCCATTTGAGAATAAAATTCCTGGTTGGGTATTCTTCTTTCAGCTCTCAGCATGTTGTATCACCTCGTGAACGAAGGACATTTTATGCCTTTTCATGTCAACATGTCTTTCAGCTCTGAAACCCTTAACCTGTGTAGCACTGTGGTTTTTGACAAAAGCAGCTCTAACAAAACAAAACACTCTTCTCTTGCTGTGTAGTGTGTGACTTTAGCACACACAATAATTTTATGCCGCAGAACAACATTTGTGGGATTGAGCCAAAATCTCATAGTGAATCTGTACAGAAGGTTTACCAGATTATTCCCAGGATAATCCACTGAGTCATACTTAGTCACACATCAAAAACTGGGCCAGGATCCATCGTCAAGGCATCGTTGAATTAAAGCCTGGAAGAACCGGTGCCCAATCAGGATAGGTGTTGAGAGAAAATAGAGGAACTCCCCATGTCCCCACTGCTAGCATCACAGCAAGAAGACCGATCACGTTGACACCAAGCCCCGCCTTCACCTGCAGCAGAGAACTCAATCAGGTTTAAGACAAACAGCTGAGAACGATATACCATTCATGTGTTGGTGCATTGCAGCCTTTTGAGTGCACCCAGTGGAACCTTTCAGCACTCACCATATCCAGGATGCTGATGTGCCCGTAGGAAAACACCACGGCATTGGGTGGGTTGGACACTGGCAGCAGGAAGGAGAAGGATGTGCACAGGGTGGTGGGGATGAGCACGTACAACGGGTTCACATGGATGGCCTCCGCCTGAGGGAATATAGCAAACCTGAAATCGTTTGTGTGTTAGAATTTAAGACCTTCCTTTTCACATAAAGCTCTTAATAATCAAGCTCCATCATACATCAGTGACCTGACTGTTCCGTATGTTCCTAACAGAGCACGTCGCTCGTCACGTGACGTCAGAGGTAGCTCTGGAGAAAGGCCTCAGGCTGGGCCTCAGCCTCATGTTAATAGATTTTGGGCCACTTGGGCTCTTTGAACTTTAGTTTTTTTTTCTGTGTGTTTGGATGTTAATCATGGAATTAGCTGGACAAAAGGGAAAGCTGTGGTTACTAACAGACCATCCAAGCAGTTTCTGCTTCTTTTTATCAGTAAGTAAATTTAGATTTCTGTAGGGCTGCTGTGCCATTTCACTGCTTGGTCAAACATGTTAGTGGGGCTGATCAGCCTATTTTTACTCTGTTTGGTGTGATCATCTCTGTAGATATACACATGTCCTGTCTACTCATTAGTCTAGTAGAAACTTACTAATCAAATGTTAGCTGCTCACCCATTTGTTTCCTGCCAGATGCCTACACACTCTTTACCTCTTTCCCCTCACTGTTAATTGATATGAGGCAATTTGAACATTCTGTTCTCATGATGATGATTTTTTACTGTTTTATGACCAGCTACCTATACATAACCTGAATTTAAAAGGTCTTTACTGTATGATTTATTTCATGGGTTTCAGATTCTTATGAAAGCTCTTGATAAGAAGCATGGAGCTTAAAGAGTAAAAGTTCAGCTTGTTCGATACACTTGAGATAAGTGAGAACCCAGAACCTACCAGAGGAGCGAGGATGGGGAGGAAAATATTACTAGTTGCTGCATTGCTGGTCAGTTCTGTCATTGTGGTGACAATAATGGAAGCAATTGTAATGGTGGCGAGGACTGGCAGATTGCCCAGGGGTGTGAGCAGCTCCGCCACCCACAGAGACAGTCCTGATTCCTAGAGGCAAATGCAAAATGAAGAATTATTGTAGTTTTTGGTCAATAAAGGGTTCATTCATCAGAGGTGTTCCATGTAAACCTACATTCACAACTTGGAGACCTTTATCAAGTGTCTCCAATTCAGATGTCTATGTCAATGTCAAGTTTATTTATATAGCACATATCCAACAATCAGTTTGCACAAAGTGCTGTACACAGACAACCAGTAAAAAATAAAATAACAAAACACCGAGAAACATCCAGTAGACCCTATGTAAAATAAATGAACAAAGAAATCAGTTGTTTTTTAAAAGCAAGGGTAAAAAGGTAGGTTTTTAAAAGAGACTTAAAGGTAGAAATGCTGTTAGCGGACCTAATCTGTAGGGGAAGGCTGTTCCAGAGCTTGGGAGCGGCCAAAGAAAAAGCTCTGTCGCCTCTGGACTTCAGCCAAGACTGGGGAACAGATGAGAGATGTGGAGAAGATGATCAGAGGTTTCTTTTGGGGACATGAGTGTTTAAGAGTTCCGACAGATAAGGAGGGACCAAACTGTGTAGTGCCTTATAACAGAGCAGCAGCGTTTTAAATTGAATCCTGTAAGTGATCGGGAGCCAGTGAAGAGCTTGTAAGACCGGAGTTATGTGATCCCTGCGTCTCCTACCTGTCAACAAGCGAGCTGTCGCATTCTGAGCCACCTGCAAGCGGTGAATTGACGTCTGCTCCAGTCCATGATAAAGAGAGTTGCAGTAGTCGAGTCTCAACATGATTAGCAGGTGTATAACCTTTGCAGTCTTTGAGTGGTAAATAGGGCTTGCCTTTACTAAGAACACGCAAATGAAAGAACACGCTCTGAACAACAGAACTTTTCTGTTTATCAAGTTTAAAATGACCATCAATGAAAATACTCAGATTTCTTGCCTGAGACATGCAAAAGGATTCTATAGGGCCAAATACACTGTTTGCCCCGTGCAACAGCCCAGGGTCCCCAAAAATGACAATTTCAGTTTTTTTGTCATTTAAAGTGAGAAGGTTAAATTGTAGCCAGTTTTTAACGTCTTTTAGACAATTTAGTAATTTATCAAACAATGGCCTTTGAGAATGTAGTGGGACATATATCTGCACGTTGTCCGCAAAGAAGTGGTGGTATGAGATGCCATGCTTATGAAAGATGGTGCCAAGGGGCAACATGTACAGCGAGAACAAGAGCGGGCCCAAAACTGAACCTTGATGGACACCACATCTAAGTTTCTCTGGAGACGAACAACACTGCCCCATATTTACAGTAAAATTCCTGTCTGAAAGGTAGGACTTAAACCACTGCAAGACTGTGCCCTGAATGCCAACGGTCATGCTCTAGGCGGGATAAAAGGATCTGATGATCCATCGTATCAAAGGCTGCCATTCGGTTTAGACCTAATGGCAGCCTTTGATACAGCTGGATCAATACAGCTGATTGACCGGAATCGATAGTTAAAAATATATTGTTAAATATTCTTAAAAGAGCAGTCTCCGTACTGTGGTATTGCTTAAAACCTGATAGAAACGTCTCTAAAATACCATAATGGTCGAGGTAGTCCTGCAGCTGCCTGTAGACAAATTTCTCCATGACCTTAGAAAGGAAAGGGAGCTTGGAGATAGGCCTGTAGTTGGAGAGCACCATGGGGTCGAGATTAGGTTACACTACAGTGTTAGTGCGTGTTGATGAGGTGTATTCCATGGCTGTGGTGACCGGGCAGTGCAGGCATCATCTGGCCTATGCCAGCTGATGCCACCACAGAACCCCGCTTCCCCCCACAGACCCTCAGTGTTTAAGTGCAGTTTAAAACGGGAAGTAGGCACCGGCACTCGAGATGAGGCTGAAAGATCCCCTTGCCATTTGCTGTTGAGTGTGCTCGCTCCCAAGGCCCTAAGTGTGTGTTTGCGTGGAATGTCGTTGGTGGAAGTGTTTAATATGCAAATAATAAATAAATAAGGTCCCCCCCCCCCCCCCCCCCGCCGCCGCCCCAGAAACCCCCAGTGAATCCACCTCCAGTGTCGTTTGCTTTCTAAAGAAAGCGCTCTACGGACATCAGAGTTTCATTCCATTTTTACACTTTATGTAACAATTAAAAAAGAACCAAATGATTGTTTTGTTTCTGAATTTGACACCAAAATAAAATAAATTTCTTTGTTCTTACTTTAAGTTATAGGCTTAGATATAAAATTTAAATGTTAAAATTTAATATGTGACTTTCAAAGTAAAAGCAGATCTCCAGTCTGTCTTTGCATTGGACAAGAAAAATAATAAACAAAGGAGAAGGGTGTGTATTGATTCTTTTCATAATGTCTCTTATCATCTACATGCAGATGACATTCAGCTGTACTTTTCCTTTAAGGATTCTAAGCTCAACAAACTGAATTACTAGTGTCCATCAGCCATCACCAGCTGGCTGGAAGATAATTTCCTCCAGTTAAACTCTGAAAAGACTGAATGTCTGATCATTGCCCCTGAGAGCATGGTTCCCCTGATTAGTCTAAAACCTGGTCATTTATCCTCTGCCGTCACGTCGAACTTGAGGAATTTTGTTGTTTTTGACCAGTCAGCGTCTCTTGAAGGCCACTCAAACACGTTGGTCTGAGACTGTTTATATCACTTAAGAAATGTTTCAAAACTGTGAAGGGTGGTGTCAAAACATGAACTAGAAATGGTTCTCCATGCCTTTATCTCCTCCCGTCTAGATTACTGTAACACACTTTTCACATGTTTTAACAAAAAAAGCCCTTGACCGCCTTCAGTTGGTCCAGAACTCTGCAGCGAGGCTCCTAACTGGAGCAAACAGAAGAGCTCACATCACACCTATTCTGATGTCTCTGCACTGGTTACCCGTTACCTTTAGAGTTCATTTTAGAATCCTGACTAGAACTTTCAGGGCTCTGTCACATTGTGAGCCTGGAGGAGGTTTGGACCCAATATGCAGACACCCAGAACGACAGGAGGAAGGAGTGGATTTAAATGAAAACATTCCTTTATTAGGAGGGAGAACAAAAATGTTCCAAAGGGCAGGAAGCCCAAAACCAATGTCCTGAAACCCTGGAGACAAAAAGATCATTTAAAGAGCACAAAAACCTAGAGACCTAGTGACAAGGCTCAAAACAAAGCTGACACCAAACAATGGACCGACAAAACATGGAGACACAGACAGGGTTTTATACACTGGGGAGGATGAGAGGGAGATGAACTGCAGGTGTGTGGGGAGAGAGAGACCAGGTGAACTCAGTTACTAATCAGGGAGGAAACTAACATGACCTATAAAACCTAAAGACAAGAAGAGCAGGAAACATACAGTAGGTGGCGGAAATGCACCTAGCAGTTAGATGCCACCCGCCAATAAACTCGAAGAAGAAGAAACAGCAGGAAACATAACTAATAATCTAAGGGGGAAGAAAACCCACAAACACCGATGGGAAAAACACACTAGAGAGACTAATAACATGAACAGCTGTAGCTAAAGAAAAACCTGAAGACCAGAAGGGCAGCAAACATAACTAATATTCTAAGCGGGGAGCTGAAACTAAAGGAAAAACACTACAGAAAGAAAAACTACAGGGGCGTGACTATAGGGGGCCATGGGAGCACAGGACCTGGGAGGGGGATACCTGAGGAGGGAAACCTAGAGGGCTGAATATCTGGGGAA